GAGGCATAATGTGTTATTTTTAGTTTTTTATATTGTTTTATTGTCTACTTTTATTACATAGGGTTCTATATGTTGTATTTATGATTAAATTAAAAATAATTAAACTGTTTCAAAGATAACAGATCTTCGTAACACTTGGTTTATTCACATAATGGTTGTAATTGTTGGATGTTCGGCCCTTCAGCTGTTGGCCTGCAGTAACTGTGGTCCCCGGAGCAAATGAGTTGTATAACCCTGGTCTAAAACTTGTTAGCTGCCTCAGTGTTGGTATTASATGTATTTTATTGTCTTACTTACCCATAAGTGTTAATGAAATTTCACTCAGCSCATCAAAGACAAATCCCTGAGCGGTGTTTAAACATGTTGGTTGTGCGTTCTCCTTTGCACGATATAATMKTATTCTTTTATTAAMTGAGGGTTATTTGTTAACCCACACTATAGATAATCACAACACACACTCCATTTGCGCACACATTACCTGTAGATTCTTCTTCAGTGGTGTTCGAGCGGCTCACACATTATTTGTTTATGTTCCGACGGCTCACCTGCGAGCTTTCTTCAGCAAATACTTCTTCTGGTTGGCAGACTGGGTATCGAAACTAGGAATCAAAATGTTAAAATTCAAACAGTTTTGGGAGAATCGACGAGTTAGTCCCGGTTCCAACTGATACTAGAGGCTCGATACCCAACCCTACGGACGAGATCCATTTCTTCAGCGAATGCTGGACCTTTCCTGATGTGAACTGGTTTGTCTGTGTGTGTTTTTCTTCAGGCTCAGTGTCAGGARGTGAGAAAGAAGAAGGGCCTGGAGCTGCAGATTTTAACAGAACCCATCAGAAACTGGGAGGGAGATGACATCAAAACTCTGGGTCCTGTCCTCCACATGTCCCAGGTCAAAGTTCACACGCAGAATTGTCAGGTACRCCTCCTGTGTGGAAGAATCAGACACTTGAACAGGGTCAACTTTTATGAAGAGGAWATAGAAGCTGTTTTGTCTTTCAGGAGTCAAACGAATGCTACCTCCTCCTCTTCCCTCACACGCTGCTCATGGTCTCTGTCAGCCTGAGAATGAGTGGATTTATTTACCAGGTRTGTTTTCTGAGACCACATAGTCATCTCTGTACCAATATTTACTTCTGTGATTCTCACACGTTAAAATAAATTCATAAGATCCTAAGCATGACGACAAATATTTATTTGCTCTCTCGTGTTGTTTGTTTACGTCTGCAGGGGAAGATGTCGTTATCAGGAATGCTCATCTCCAGGATTGAGGACAGAGAAAATTTATGGAATGCTTTTGAAATATCTGGTTAGAAATGTACAAATATGCAAAATTATTGAGTAAATTAAACTTTGTTGTTTTATTGATTATTCAAAGTTTTTGTACATGTTTGGAAGAAGTTCTTTTGATTATTTGTCTTTTTTCTGTTAATCTGTGCTTTTTCGTCGTGCAGGTGGTCAGTGTGAGCGGGTACAGGTAGCCTGTAACAGCCAGCGAGATCTACAAAACTGGCTGGATCTCCTCACCAAACACACACATACCACCCCGCCTCAGTTATACAAGCCTCGGGCCGTCTGCCACACAGTAAGCCTCCATTTGAATGAACAGCTGTGATAACCAGTGAGCGAGCTAATCATCATCATCCTCACTGCTCTTTCTCCTGCTTCTGCTTCCAGCTGCCCTCCCATTCTGCCACTCCCACCAGACACTCCGAGTCTCGTGTGGAGAGCTGCAGAAACTCGTACCACACTCTGCCTCATCTGCCCTCACATGCACCAGGTCCTGGTAGCCACTCCACGTGGGGACCCCTGGAGCCACCAAGCACCCCCAAACCCTGGACTCTGACCTGCCTTCGCCCTGCACCTCCTCTCCGACCGTCTGCCGCTCTGTGCTTCAAGGAGGTGCTGAACAATTAATTTGTTTTGGAATTGTAGCAATTATGTAAATGTCTTGTATTTATGAATTTTGTCCATTTCTTTCTATTTTTTAAGGATATGAGTAAGAGTCCAAAGAATGTGAAGAAGCTGCTTCCTAAGAGGAAACCAGAGAGGAAACCTTCGGAGGAAGATTTCACYGCCAGAAAGAGTAAGTGCAGCCTAACACAAAGAAGTTTACTGATAACTTTATTTTTAGATTAAATGTTTACATGTTTATTATCATGCTTTMTTTATTTTTATGGTGTTGTCAATCAATTTATTTGTTACCAGCAAAGCTTAAAAATCCTTCAAAATTATTTTTAATTAGAATAGCCTATATGCCACGGCCATTGATGACGTATTTCCGTTAAAATTCCTGCCACACACATCCCTTCCACTTCCTGCTTACTGCCTTTGTTTTTTAAGTTCCTAGTACTAGTCCGTGAAAAAGTCACAAAAGTTGAAGCATCTACTGGTATAAAACATGAGTTCTGTTGTGTGCCATTGTGTCCACTATAAGCAGCAGGTACGATCWAGTAGTTAGTTTTTCTCCATTTTCCTCTTGATGAGGAGGTGACAGAAGTGGATCATAGCAATACAGGGAAAACTTAGCTATAAAAGCTCACGCTTGCGTTTGTAATCGGCATTTCTAACCTGAGGATATTCAAGAGCAAGCATCAGAAATGGAAAGATGGAGGTTATAAAAGAGAAATGTACAATTATCCCCCTTTACTGCCAAGACGAGAGAGGAAAGACCACCTCTAGAGGACAGCTAGGAGGAAGCTAACACAGCAGCCGGTACAAAGGTAGGTGTGTGCACGCGCATTTGTGTTATACAGAATATGAAATTATTTTAGGCATCTTTGTCATGAGTTTTATGCAAAAGTAAAAATTTATTAGTGTAATTTATTACAGCGTAGACAAAACCCAAGCGACGAGCGCCGCAGAACCTCCACCTGATGATCATTACATTTTCAACTCACCAACATCGGGGAAAACGATCCAAACCATACAAGTAGCCCATCAGTTTAAAGCCCAGACTCTGCTCTTTCCAACAATAAAAGTGTCACTGCTCTATGTGAAAAATTCACAGAACAAGCAGCCAAGGAATAGCGAATGAGGCTAAATTCTGGAACCATAAACAAGAACATCTTTGTTTTTATGGCTTTAATCCATTTTGGTGTGATTTTTTTCCCCACTTGGCTGGACCTGTATGTGTCCTGTGTTAATGTTGGTACATGTAATATGCTAATTCTGTACTGTGGAGATCATTAAGAGTTGTTGTCGAGTGAAAAAATCTTTTGCTAACACAGTGTTGCCTGCGAACCAGAAGACTGGTGCGTGGCAAAAGAATGCTGAAGTGCTAGAATCAGAAGTCCGTGGCATATAGGCTGTTGTTTCAAATGCTCCCATAACCTCACCATAACTTTAATGCCCTCTAGTGTTCCTAAGGGGAAAAATCGACCTTATTGAAATCTATAATCGATGCATCTTTTTGTGTTGTGGACATCCCGGATTAGGGAGGCTGTCAAGCTCAAGGAGTCCTACCAGGTCTTGTTGGCGGGTAGATGAGGAGTATTGGCAGGCCATGGCTGTTGCTGAGGCAAAAGCTCGGATGCAGTGACAGTTTGGTAGGACCTTGGATAAAGACTCCCCACTAGCTTCCAGGAGATTCTCGTAAACCATCCKGCGGCTGAGGCRGRATTGTGGGTMTGTTGTTACGGGCCATTCAGTCCCTATACAAGTGGTGTAAGAGTTTGGTTCCCATTTCCGCCAGTAAGTCGGATTCCTTYAGAGTGGGWGTTGGGCTCTGCCAGAGCTGCCCATTGTCACYRATTCTGTTCATAACTTTTATGGACAGAATTTCTCAGTGCAGCCAGAGGGTGAAGAGAGCCAGGTTGGGTGGTCTCATGATTCCATCTCTGCTACAAYATTTGCAGATGATGTGGTTCTGTTGGTGTCATCGTGCCGTGATTTTCAGCTCTCACTGGAGCGGTTCACAGCTGAGGGTGAAGCAGCTCCAAATATGAGTCCATGGTCCTCAGTCGGACAAGGGTGGATTGCTCTCTTCAGGTTAGCGGTGAGATTCTGCCTCAAGTGGAGGAGTTTAAGTATTTTGAGGTCTTGTTCACGAGTGAGGGAAGAATGGAGCRTGAGATTGACAGATGACCAGTGCAGCTTCTGCAGTGGTGCAGACTCTGTACCCGTCTGTTGAAGTGAAGAGGGAGCTGAGCTGCAAGGAGAAGCTCTGTTTACTGGTTGGTCTACGTTCCTACTTCATCTATGGTCATGTAGTGACTGAAAGAATGAGATGAGATTGCAGGTACAGGTAGTCAAAATAAGTTTTCTTTGCAGGGTAGCTGCACCCTTTAGAGATGGAGTGAGATGTTCAGTTATCCAGGAGAGACTCAGAGTAGAGCTGCTGCTCCTCCACATCAAGTGGAGCCAGTTGAGGTGGTTGCTCCCTGGGCTGCTTCTGTGCATGTCCAACAGGGAGGAGAGACCCGAGGGAAGACCAGGAACTCAGAACAAGTGCAAGATGATGGATGGATGGAAGGTGGCTCTCCTTCATTATATGCCTACAGCCCCTCTGAGTGGATCAAATCAAATGTACAGCATGATATATACCGTAGCAAACTTTTACAGCTTTTCTTTCAACTTTTCTCTTGAAATGTAAATTGTAACACATTGAATAGAGTATCGATACAGGTAGCGGTACTGGTGGTGTGTTGCCATAAAGGTGAGGCATCTCTGTAAGCAGACACTAATTATTTCATACCCTGTTTTTTGCTCCTCWTCAACCAGGCACAGCAGCTCTGGAAGAGGACGCTCAGATCCTGAAGGTGATTGAGGCCTACTGTACAAGTGCCAAGACTCGGCAGACTCTCAACTCAAGTAAGTCTGCTTAGCTCTTTAACCACATTCACATCTGAACACATCATCGACACGTTGTCGTTGACTAACATGCTGTGTGTCTTAATCAGCGTGTTTTCAGCTTTCACTAAYAATGTTTTTTCTCTTTTCTCTCTTTTTATGTCTTACCTCCGTTCATCTGCTTTCAACACTCAACAAATTTTATTTTTGTTTTTTAAACTGCTTGTTTGTGTTACCTTTGTTTCACTCTTTCTAACTGGTGTCCCTTGCTGTAATTTTCCTATACTTGTCATGATGTATTCCTCACACACAATGCTTTACTTTCATTTGTCCTCTGCATTGGTTGCTCTTTTATGTTACGGTTTTTCTGTTTTGTCCAACACMTTCATCCTTATTCCGATGTGGTTTTGATTTATCTCCTCATCCTCCCCGACACTTAATTGCTTGTTATTTGACAATACATAAAGCCTGGCAAGGAACTGACCTCATGCACAACCACGTGCTYGCTGAAAACAGCCTCACTGTGGCTGAGCTTCCATGTTCCGACCAATCGGAAGATTCGGATTATGAGAGTATCTGGACTTCCCAAAATCACAGGACCGCCTCGTTCTCTCGTAAGATGCCGGTGTTGCAAACCATGAATGTACTGGCAAACAAGCTGACATTAGTGATAGTGTTTGTATAATCAGTGTTAGGATTTGTTTSTGTTTTACTTCGTAGTTGTGCTTTTGTATCAAACCTTTTGTCCTTGTAAAGATGCTTCAGTATGCAKTTGTCCACAAGAGCATCTGATGCCTTCACATGTTTCACTTCACTAAACAGAATAAGGAAAATTAGTGTTTTTTTTTTGTCACCATAGGCAGTAAAATGTACCATCACAGCACAAAAAAAGGCAGCAGGTCATGTGACTAGATGCCTAATTCCATCTAAAATGTGTGCAACATGCAGCCAGTGTGGATGTGCTAATCTGTTACATTGGAAACAAAATAAAAATCATAATATTCTTCTACACTATGGACATAAAACTGATCTTACTTACTAAATATGACTTCATCCTTTTCTATATATGGTTGTTTTTAGTAGCTAATTCTCCATTGGGATTGTGTGAATGGAAATAGACGTGCATCTCGTGTTTGTAGTTTGTGAAACAAGTCCACTCCGATCTAATTCATCTTTGAGTTTTATGGTAAAATATGTTTGTTTTTCTGTCCAAACAACTCACTGTTTATTGTTTGTTCAGGCTCCAGCAGGAAAGATATTCAGATATTGTTTCCCAAAGAGGAGAAGATTCTAGTTGAAGAAAGCAGAAGCAATGGTCAAACTGTGGTAGAGGAAAGGTAAGCAAATATAAATATACATWTAGCACAAAAAAGTAAGAATATTTGTGTTTGGTATATTATTTCTTTGTTGTAATTGTAACTGCTGAGCCTGTTCATTTCATTTTTAAATGGTGCCACATTTGTAAGGAACATGCATTTGTGGGATGAGCAGTAGAGCTGAGTGTGTGGGTTAGCACATGAAAGATTTGCCAAATTGTATCTGCCATGGTCAGACAGCTAATTTGTTGTTATTAACATTTGCTTTTAGCTTCTGGCAGCTCCAGATGCTGCCAATCAGGCGCCCGCTATAAAATTTATTGGCAAGAAGCATTGCTAAAACAAATGATATATATAATTTTATTTATTTATTTATTTACATTTTTTTAATGGCAGGTAGATATTAGAAATGAGGATGCACCAATACTACGTTTTTGAAATACTTTTTTTGCCATAAATAATGTATCATGTTTACTGGTTATCACCAGCATCATTTTCAGCACAAAAATGGCAATATTCCTACCCAATAATATTCCTTAATGCTGAAATATAAACAAAATTAGGAAACCGATAAAGCAATAAAATTCAGAATCTTATTCGGATGCTTCCTGGTTGCCTGCCTTTGGAGGATTTCAGACATGTCCTGCTGGGAAGAGGTCTTGGAACAGACCCAAAACTTTCTGGAGTGATTGTGTATTTTCTCTGGCCTGCACCTTGGGATCCGCCTAGTGGATCTAAAGATTGTCTCTGGGAAGAGATCTGTTGCCTCTGTAACTTGACAATAGATAAACAATAGAAGCTGGAGACAATAAAGTCATAGAAAGTGTTTGTTTCTCATCTCTTTAAGACATCCATATGGAGCAGTTAATAAAGATAACTAAAATATCACTGTTTTGAAGCACTAACTTCTTTTGAGATGTTGGCAGCTGCTAATCATTAAGCAGCTCGTTAAACATCTTCTCAGGCTCAACAGTGACCTGGATAGTCAGTTTTAGCCAAATCTACTTTCCCTAATTTTACATCACACAGTCTGTACTGTGGTATTGGAACATTTTTTACCAGCATGTGTACACWGAGTATCAAGTGAATTCCTGATGTTCAAATATAAATGTGTTGGTTGTTTTCTRCAGGAGTCTGGTGGACACTGTGTACAGTCTCAAAGATGAGGTTCAAGAACTCAAACAGGTGAGTTTGTTTGATGTATCTGTTAATTTTTGTTGTCTGCTTTTGTCTAAAAGTTCAGTTGACTGTCACTTTCCTTTGTCTCATTGGGGCTCCAAGCCTGCAGAGCAGGGGGAACACAGCTGAAACTTAGCTTGCATGTACAGAGGAGAAAAATATTCAGACATATACCTATAGGGACACTTTAATCAAGGTCTTTGTATTTGGTCCTTTAAATCCTAAACTGTAAGTCACAAAATTTTTTGGCTTATGTTTTCGTAATCCCCAGTCACTACTGAGGCACATGATGAAGGCCACGCCCATTTCTGCATAAAAMCTTTTTTTTTCTACAGTGCAAAATTAGCTAAAACTACTTTTAACTTCTTCTCWAAGATTCGAAGTTGCCATGAAACTCAACATACTGGATCTAGATAGTATGCTGATTCAAAGTTTCTAAGTTAGATGAAAATCATACTCCTGTAACTGGAGTCAAAGATGAGTTAGTGGCCCAAATTTTAAATCATTAAAATAAAAGGGGCATTATATTCCACAAACAAATTTCACACAAAATAGGCTAATCGGGTATTCATGAAACTTGGCATAGTCATACAKACCCTCACCCTGAGCCAAAACCTAGCAGTTAGCTTAGCCTTGTTTATAATCCAGTCTTGTAAAATGATGGGAGTGTAAACTCTTCCCTCTGTCTTTGGTCTGCCGCGCTCTTCATGTCCATCTGATCATGTCCAGGGGTCGGATTTATAAAACTGGCGTACGCAAAATTTGAGCCCAGAAACTTGCGTACGCCACTTTTTACG